GTGCGGGCTAATTGGGGGGGGGTTAGCATATATATATATATACACGTTATATAGTTATATACATATATATATATATAGATTATACTGCATACTATATATTGTATACTATATATTATAAGTATTTATAAGTCATATATGGGAGTTTCCGAAAATAGGGGACCCTAATCTAGTACCCTAAATATCTAGTACCCTAAATAGTAGGATCCTTATTATAAGGACCCCAAAATAAGGTAACCTAGTTTTCGGAAACTCCCATATATATATATGTATGCATGTATACAAATAAATAAATATATAAACAGATAAGTAAATATGTATACATATATATATATATACATAATCACATAGTATAGTATTTCATCATTGTATTAAATTATATGTTGTACACTACATACTCTACATTATATATGTTTCGAAGCTATATATATATATACACATAGAACGTAAAATATAGAGGTCTGTATTACATATATGATAAACTCTATCTTATACATTATATTCTTTATATTAGATACTATGTATGATATACTCCACATTGTACATGACACTTTAGATATATTACACATTGTGTATTCGTCTTAGTTCTGTTGGAATGGTTGGACTCACTTGTTTCATTGGTCAATCACCTGTGCCGTGGATAGTAGTGTTGCCACGGGTCCCGACATGCAGCTGAGATTTCGGAAGACAAGTGGCCGCTTCCAGCTCTGTTCAGTTTGCTAAGCTAGGCCGTGCGAAAGTTGAGACCAGGGGGTTGAACCGGCAACATGTTGTGGGCAGCTATTTAACAGCTATTTGCAGCTGCTCCATGCAATTTTTGGGGAATAACAAGTAACTAGCATTTTGTCAGGTCCGTGACAGCAGTGACATTTAGAAGTGGGGTTAGACATGTGGTTCGAACGATCTTGCGACGTCCGGCCATCCTGCTGCAAGGCCTACGGCCGTGGCTGGCGGCAGCTGGCTTGGTATCGTCCCATCCAGTGCCAGGAGTCAGCAGAAGTTTTCAGATCAAACTGCGCAGCAGGATGCAATACTTAGAGCATGCAGTGGTCCTTGTTGCTCTTCCTGGAAAACAGCCTCCTTTTCGTCGTGTAAGTAGCTGGAACAGAAGCTAAATCTCGCTCAGTTGGAACCTTAATGCCAACAGGTTTCTCTTCGGTTTCTGTTCGAAGGCCAATTTGTAGGCTGATGGCCTGAAGCATTTGGTCGTTGCCTTGGGCGACCTGCGGTTACGTGTAGCCGAATGTAGGCTGTGGCTGTGATCCCTGAGCATCCTCAGAATGAACCATCCTCAAACTAGCGTTGCAGGCTGGAGCCCTGTCCCCTTGTTCTTCATATTCCTCGGCTCGACACCCTGTACAATCAAGCGATTCAGCATTAGCTGAGCGGTAAACTTTCCTCCTACAGCTGCCGGCGTCCGCAGCTCTACGATTGTGATAAGGAGTCCGGAGGGGCTCATACAGTTCTACTATGCGATAGGTACTCCCTACATCTACTCTTGGGTCTTTGTTTGTGCACTTCTTGAGTGAAGCGGGAGGACGGTTGCTACTTGCAGCTTGATGCGACCGAGACCCAGCGAACCTCTCAACATCACGTTGAGGACAGAGCGGCCCAAGTTTGTGATATGTAGATATACAGAGCCCCAGTTGACTGAGAAGATCGGATTTGGGCTGAACCAAACTCAAGGGTCAGGTCTGGCGTGCAGGGTTGGCAGCTTCGAGGGCAGGCATCTGTGCGATTGTGGACGGGTGAAAGCACACGGAAATGTAGGTCGTGGATTAAGACTTACGTGAGACATCTGGTATGATTATACTACAGTCGCATGTGCACATTCTCAGGGGAAGAGAAAGGCACCTCCGCGACTTCGGGGGGTTTGGTCCTGTTCGGTGGCTGTCTCCCCTCCCTTCGGAACTTTGCCAACCAACTACTAGGGTGTGATCGGGGAATATCGGCGACCTTTTGCGCCGTGCCCACCGACACGCTCCTCCGCTGCACCAACTTCGCTGGGCGGGGGACACCAACAACTACCTGACTGTGCTATGGTACTGACGAGATGGCTTTCCCGACCCCCCCGACGCCGGCACCGACTCCAGCGTCAATCTACGACTCGAAGCCGCCACCCTGGCAAACGGAAGGGTGCAGCACCGACTTGCTCAACCTCATGTTTGACGGACCCGGGGGGGCGACTGCTTTGGGATCGCCGCCTAAACGCACGGGGAGGCTCAGAGAGCACTGAACTCGAGGAGACCGTCACCAAGGAAGCGATCGCACGCACACTGCAGATGCAGCTTCAGCAGCAACGCCAAGCCCTAACGGGGGAGATGCACCGAGCAATGAGCCAGGTCAAGTCCCGCGTCGACGACATAGAGAAGGCCCTCGGGGAGAAGTTCGGTGATGCAGTGAGACTGTTGCAGGCACTCGCCAGCAGCCAGGAAGCCTAAGGGGAGCGTTTGGACCTGGCCAACCGCATCGTGGACCTCGAGGCTAGACTTCAGACACTGCAAAGTGGAGGGGGAAGGGCTACGGGGGGAACAGCCTTGGAAGACGATGCCGGCAAACCCGCCCTCATCATTGGGGGATGAGATCCAGATCAGCCGGCAGATGAGACCCTAACCAAAGCCCACCATGTTATCAGGGAGCTGCAGCTAGACATCGACGCCGACGAGGCTTTCCTGCCGCTCTACTCTGGAGCAAGCAAGCAAGCAAGAGAGAGAGAGAGAGAGAGATAGATACACAGGGGGGAGTTCCCCTTTGCCCATAACCCTGCCGAAAGAAAGATAGATAGACTACATACGTGCCCGCGGGACGGAACACATCCCTTACGCCCGAAGGAAGAATACATGCATGCATACATACATACATACCAACGGACAGGTATACATGCATTGCTACATACGTACATGCACAATACGTAAGTCAACGCATGCAGACATGGACAGATACACATGTACATACATGTACAAATGGGCAGTCCGTTCACTTAAACCATATTACAAAGCAGTCTTATCAGTTGGAGCAGCAATAAGCAAGGAAGTAGTTGCTTTTGGAGAAGGTGGAGCCACCGCACTTGCGTCAGCAGCCGTAGAATGCAGTGGCTTTTGCCGGAGCAAACTGCTATTGAAGGACTCCGCCAGCAAAGACGCCAAGGCAAGTCCACATGGCATCCGATTATAATAACTACCAGTAGTACATTGTAACAAGATAAGACAACACACAGTATAATATACTATACTGTCTATACTATTCCTTAGTAGGAGTCTTTCAGCACATACAGTACTAGAAGCTGTGGATGCTGAGCGAGGTAGCTCCCCACGCAGCTAAAGCTTAAAGCTGGTTATTAGTACTTCCAACCAAGTGCAGTCAGCGGTTGTCTTCAGTCAAATCCCAGCAGCAGCAAGGTAGAACACATAGAACCAACAGCAGCAGCACCCAGACTGAAAGCGACGGCGATGGCAACCACAACAAGAACAACATCCAAGCCGCACCGCCACGACGGCGACAGCAGCAGCAGCAGCACAGCCACCACCACCACCGCTGCCACCATCACCGGCTGAAGCTAGAGTGTCTTGCACCAGTGGACTCACGAGTGGTTCCCGTAGCCAGCCGTATCAGTTGCTGAACAGCACTAGATGTCCAGCTCCCGTCGGCCGGCCATGCACCTGACAGCCCCCTCAGGTCTTGAGCACAACCAGGTACATTCCATACCTGGCCAGGGCGAAGCAACTGCTCATCAGTTCCACGCGATGCCCGGATGCTTTAACACCAACATTGGTCCACCGCAGATGCACGTCTTGGGCTGCGGGGTTGAGTTCTTGGAACAGCTCGCAGGCGGGTTTCAGATTCAGATTCTCATGGTGGGAGTTTTGCGTGTTTTTCTTGTTTGGGTCTCCAAACACAAGCCTGTCGGAGTTTGATCCGGAGCATGCTCAGAAATCTCCTGCTTTGGCCTTATGCATGAGTTGTCATTGTCTGAAAGATGGCGAGAACGGCGAATTGCCCACTTGCAACGCAGCCGAGGATACATCGCTTACTCGAGTGACGTCGGGGAGTCCCTCCGACCGGTCCTGAAGCTGCGAGCTCGGCAGTCAGCATGCAACTGTCGAGGAAACCAGCTCCACATGTCCAGCTCAGCAATCATGACTCAAAACCGATCTCGTGCCGGCAGCGGAAAACATCCACCAATGTTTGAAGAGATGTAAGAAATAGAAAACCATGCACTAAAGAGCAGGATTCCGAACTGGAGGCCACTCTTGTTTTGAATGTCCGAGGCGATGGCAGGTCAATCTCAGCTATGGCATTGCGGGGGCCTACGTGCTTGGTGCTTGGGTTGCATCTACGGAGCTTCTTTCAGGCATAGACTTGCTTGCAAGATTTTCGTGCGAAGTTGAGTCGGCGCAGGTGAGACAGCCCCTCGGCCGCTCTCATGGACCTTCGGGCCGTCTGCGGATGTTCATGACCCGCTTCAGCGTGAGGGTTTGGATTGCGCTGCGTCGTGCCCGAGCCTGTGGGGAGTGGTGTGAGAACAGGAAGCCCGAGAGGATTGAACTTGTGCGCCCGCATCCATGTGTTTCAGGCTGTGGCAGGATACCGCAAAAAAGCGGCTCGGTGAGACATCGGGCAGTGTTCATCAGACATCAGGTCTAAGTGTAACCCTGCTCATTTTCAGGCCAGCTTTCATGTAAGGCTCGACGAAAGGGGAGACAGCAGTTTTTGCACGTGTGGGCTGTGAGCCGAACTCGCACTCCAAGGAGCAAGACTGCAACAACAAGGCGCGGCGTGGCTTCATTGAAGTGTCTCTAATCAAATCATGCATTCAGGATGTGTTTTCCTCCTTCCCCTATAGCCCCCAACGCATGCTGATGCTTCATAGTCAGTTCCCTCGAATCCGTCCCTGCCAGAAAGTCTCGCAGGTGGTGGCTGCAGCTTGTGCCCACACCGCCTTGTTCCAATTCGCCGCATCACTAGCGTTGCCTGCAGTCTCCCGGCAATGCCAGTCCAAACAGGAGCTCTACAGTAAGGGTCCAACGATCGAGTTTTCTATATGTATGCTTATCGAATCTTATTACCAAACGGTAGGTCCACTCTTTCGGTCGTGGTGCCGTCAAAAGAAGGCTTCAAGCACGCACATGTTGATAATACCTGTTCATCTATGGAAGTGCGGAAGACGATCCGGGTGATTGTTCCTTGGGATAGGATCGCTGGCCCAGTCCCTTTTCAGGATCCCCGGAAGTGTTTCAAACGTCCACTTCAATCCACGCCCGTGGCAAACCAGCACGTATTGAAAGGCCACCAAGGTATCTCAACTATCCACGAATTGCGGAAGCGAAGCTGAGGTTATCATTCACAGTGTCGTGCACCAGGCTGTTGGCGATTGAGGGTCCGGTTTGCGAAAGGACTCGGTATGAGTAGCAAGCTAGAGACTAGAGCGAGACCGCCGATAATTGAAGGTTTTGTTGGTGCTTTTGGAGTGCGGCGAGATCATATGCTTGACGAGAGTCCGAGAATGAAGGAGAGCTCTGACTGGGAAGCAGGATGACTGCCAGGATACCTGGGAAGCCTCATAGATAGTCAGTTACTGCTAAATCAACCGTATGACGTTGATTGATATCATTGCTTTTCAGTGTTGCTTGAGAATCCTAAAGCCTAAAGCTTCAGGGCGCCAGGGTAGCTGATTCCTGTACAGGTGCAGCACGTCCTTGACAAGCCTCGCTTCGCGAACCGGCCGACTCTGCTCCGGCCTCCCGAGTGCATGTCGGGTTTGTGGTTTCGTTTTCAAGCCAGGCCGTTGAATATGCTGTTGGCAAAGCTTTCGGTGTTGTGATGAGGAGGTGAAGCCATGCACGGAAGGATAATAAATGACGTTTAATCAGGTATGGACCCAGCGCCGTCGGCTTGAGCATCGTACCTTTCCTCCCGTTGCTCGATCCACCATGTGCCTCTTGTTATGCAAACAGTCTTTATCCCGCCGTGATCACGGTTCGTGTTGCGGCGGGAGGTCAGGGCGTGCATGTGTCTAGCGGCTTGTGCATGCCTCGCACAATCTCGCACACGTGATCGCACCTGCGCATATGCATACTGCGCACACAAAGGCCCATGCGCACAGGTACATGCAGACTACCTGCGTCCGGCCGTCCCTGCGTGCGCACGTGCAATCAACGCATGCATACTCACAGGCTGCTCGACAACTACAACCGCACAGTGGAAGCATTTTTAGGGCGTGGATTGTCGCATCCTTCCAAGTCTGAGAGAAAGAGATGAGGAAGAGAGAGAGAGAATAATTAGCAAAACCAGGGTTGCTGCCTGACATTCAGACTGGCAAAAGGGCAGCAGAAGAACTCTTGACGGGGATGCAGGATGGGGAGAGTCAACATCTGGCCTCGATTGGCCCAGGCATTAGAAAGATCAAGACTAGGTTGGGACGAAGCAAACTTTGTCTCGAAAGCAAAACGAGGCTATGCGCGGCACACATCCAGTTACACTTTTCGGGTACCGTGCGTCGGGCTACAGCATGCAACGCCTGAAGAAAGCATCCCATGCACACACTGTCCACCTTCAATCAAACGAGCTTAACACATGGAGCCGCAAGAGAGTGCATCGATATCAGAGGATAGGTGGGCTTCAAGACAGTACAACCACCGACAGGAGCTGTACCAATAAAACTATGAGGACGACACGCCACCACCCATTAGTCTGTGATTCGTACAACCGACAACATCAGAAAGATAACAATCTGGGTCGAACGTTATGCAAGTCAGTGCAGTCGCGGGGCGTGCACACATACCGTGACGAGAATGTTCTGCAAAGCTCTGCGAGACACACAAGGCTTGGGTTCAGGAGGGAAAGTGGTTGCAAATAATGAAGAGTGGTTGTGCAGTTAAGTTTCGCCGTCTCACAGGTTGCAGAGCAGTGCTTTGTTGATGGACGGATGAGATGGGGCCTGACGTGTCTACTGTTGCGACACGTGGAACTGCCTCGCGGTCTCCCTGTGGATTGATCATCCTAATCTGTGGCAGTCGTTAGGAGTGGGTCATCGACTTCTTGTTCGACCGTTGGTGGCCTGGTTGGCGATCATGTGCCTGGGCAAGACTGAAAAGAATGATGTCTATGACTACCTGTGAATTTTCGAGACATGCATCGCGCTCGGAGCGTCCACGGGTTGGAGTGAAGTCCGTTGTTTGATTATTTTTGCACGATTGGCTGAGTTCCTACCAGACGTATGCGGCCCAAGCAAGTGGTATTGTTTTTTAAACTTAAGGGTATTGTGCTGTCGCACGGCATTCTGGAGGGAGATGATGCAGTGTGTAGACGCAAGAGAAAAGCAGCTCCGGGGGGTTTAGGCATGTCAGATCTTTGGAGGGTCATGCCTGCGCATGGCACTCATGAACATTGAGTGTCGTCCCAATCGCGCCGACAGGTCTCTCCGTAGCGTCTTCGTTCTGTCGCTAGTCCAAGTCCGAACTTGCCCCTGAACAAAACTGTGGAGAAAGCCTCTCTAAGTACTTGTCTTCTGAGACATGGCGGCTGGCATTTCCCGTTCAAAAACCATCCTTGAGGCATTGAAGACTGAAAGGACATGAGCTCCATCCTCGGGTTAAGCCCCGTCGGGGAGCTGACCAAACAGCATCGAATCTCGAAGCAAAAGGCCCCAAACGCATTACACCTCCCTTGCAGAATTGAAATCTGAGATGTTCGATGCCTTGTGCCAGGAGTGCTGCCGAAAAACAGGATCTCCTTGAACTTTTGGCGGCATTCTCAGTTTATTTTGATGTATATGGATATTATATGGATGCTCAGCAACGTTTACCAGAATCTGAAGCTTGAAGCCCTGTATCCCGAGCGCGTTAGCCACAAATTTCTTCTTGGGGTATCGCCTGGGGATCCAGAGATGAGGCTGCTGACCGGCAAGAGCCACTTCTTGAGAAAAGCGCCTTGTTGTAAGCTGGACTGAACTTCGGCACGCAGCAGCTGGAGCCACCCACCGAACTCGACAGGTTCTGGAGCTGTAGATGCAGCAGTGAGCTGCGACCCTGATCAGAAGCCTGAGTTCTGGCTAGGCCAGGCGTAGCTTGGGTGTACAGAGGAGAAGATCTCCTTTCTGTGAGCTGCTGACGACGTACCCTGAGGGCCCAAGACGCCTCCATCCAGCAATTCTCAATGCAGCATCGTTTGCACAAGCGGGGTTTGGTTGTCTGTTAAGTTATCATCTAGCTGAATCTAGCTGGCACTTAGAGAGGGATTGGAGGTCTGTGGGCAGGCTCAAAATGGTCTCGCCGCGGTATCGGAAATGTTCAAGAGTACAGGCTTGTCGTGTGACGCGCTTTATTGCTGCACTGCACAAGGATGTGGAGTGTCTGTAAAGCGATGAAGCAGTCTGCAGGACCTGTGAGCAGCATTGCCGATCAAGATGTCGCACCAAAGTGTATGGTCTCATAAGGATTCGAGCGGAAAGCTTTGAGCAGTGGCCTGATGTACGTACAGACGCGTAGTCCCACATGTTCGCAGGCTGAAATACAATGCATTTCTTGTACAGATCACTGGTCTCTGGCAGGTCGGTGGAGGGTCATGCGCCCTGAATCCCAGTACAGACCAGCAGAGACCCTATGCTTGGATCAACTCGGTGAGGCGTGGCCGTGCTACAAGCACAGCCACCGCTCCACAAAGCAGCCTTCGAAATCGTACCGGCTACCAGGGTTGGGACTTGCAGCCGCTGTCTAGAAGTAATTACGGCTAGTCGGGTGCCACTCATGTCTTGGCAGAAGGGAGTCGCTTAGCAGCCGGCACTGGGGCACATTCTTCCAGGTTCTGCTGTGTGGGGGCTCTTACTGTAGCATCCCCATGGCTTGACAAAAAACCTTGGAACTTAAAGCAGCCCTACTTCACCAAAATACTTTTGCCCCCGGGTAGCATAGGACGTGGACAGAGGCCGGGAAGATCCGGGAAGCACAGGGAAGCCGTTCTCTGCCTTCAGCAGGCTCTTTCTCAGAGATGAGCCTGAAGTTAGGAGGCCGGGGCCTGGACCGGGCCTGGGTTTAGGGTTTAGGGGTTAATGGCAGTCATCAAGTCCGGTTTCAACAAAGGGGTTTAGGGCATGCGAACTATCGTCCACAGGGCCTTGCGCTGGGCGGCCTGGGGTTTATGCAAAGTCAGCAAAGTTTGAGCATGCAGGGCTTGAGATTTTTCGTGTTGCAGTGTCGTGATGAAGAACTTGGGGTTGGAACTCTCGTGTCTTGGTCGCGATGTCTCAGAAGACCTGGAAAGCGACTTGCTGATTCAGCTTCGAAGGGCCAGCAGACGGAGGAATTGATCCGAAGAAGCTAGTGTGCGTTGCTGCTGCCTTGTGCGGCAAGTGCGTGCAATAAGGGGTTTACAGATAGAGTGAGGCAAACTGCTACAGTCGAGCAGCTAGGTGGCAGAACTCCGTTGCACGTTGCATGATGTGCCGTGAAGCATGATTCATGATGCAGCGTGTCTTAATGCGAAGAGCTGCATTTGCTTGTTCGAGCTGGGCCTCTTCAGGATGTCATGCCACTTGCGCAGGCACGAAGCCTTTCTTCGATCCAGCTTATGGCCGATGGGCAAGGTTCCCGGTTCCAGTGCCCGGCTTGATGCTTGTATGTTGGGCAGGGAGTCGGACAACATAAGCCCTCAGAGTCGTCCCAAAGAGAGTGCAAGAGGGATTCTAGAACTCGCTCGGCACATCGGCAAATGATCGATGCAGGAGGATCAGGCTCCCGGCCCACAGTTGCAGGAGCCACTGCTACGGAGAAAATCTTGCACCGCCCAGATGTTGACTCATGATACCGCCGATCACCAAAACCCCGGACCCCTTCTTTAGTATTGATGATGGGGTGCCATGTGGCTGGTGCAGGATTTTTATGAGTGGAACCCACAGCCCTTCCCAGGACTGGACATCAATGTTAAACAGGGGCTGCGGGGTATTCGCACTGTTGGTCTACTATATGTGGTGCCAGATTTCCTCCATCAACAGTAGCTGTCAGCATCGTCAAATTAAGATCTGGAGAAGCTTCTAGGAGTGGATGTGCTTTTCGGACGGCGTGCTTGTAAAGGCTGTTGAAATTTCGTCTGGAGGCCTTCCCAATGCTCTGGCGAGCATGCTCGATTTGCTTTGCAATTGGCTAGGCAGCTATTCTAGTGTCTTCCTGTCAGTTAGCACTCAATTAACACACAGTTAACACTGCCAAAAAATAGCGTTTTTTGCTTTATTATTCTTGCAGGAAGCAAAAAAACCTAGTTTAATTAATTGCTCTGAATGTTGTGAGGGGAGAAAAAGCGAATGTTTTGCAGCATGCCGGCCGTGTTAACTGAGTGTTCACGGTGGAAAACATAGAGTCTAAGGAGGCTTGTTGCCGTCCAAAACCACCCTAGACGCGTCGGACATTTGGCGAAACCGCCCAATTTCTGTTCCCGTAGAAGGGATCCTGTCGGTATGGCCGATCACCAAAACCCCAGATCCCGTGTTTAACATTGATGATGGGGTGCCATGTGGCTGGTGCAAGATTTTTACGAGTGGAACCCACGGCACTTCAAGGGACTGGACATCAATGTTAAACAGGGGCTGCGGGGCATTCGCATTGTTTGTCTACAATATGTGGTGCCAGAATTCCTCCATCAGCAATAGCAAGTGAAAGTCTTTTTAGTTTTTCGGTCTTGGCTCCGGACCAAGAACTTCCATCAACCGGTCGGGACTGAGTTCTATATACTTGCGTGTGTGAGTGTGCATATATATATATATATTTGTAGACACATGCATACATACATACATACATACATACACACACACATACATACATACATACATACATACATACATACATACATACACACATACATACATCCGTACATACATACATAGATACATACCTAGATGCATATCATATATATATATATGTGTATATATATATGTATGTGTGTGTGCATACACATGTATGGAGTTGTTTGTTCGTACCGCCCCATAGTCACACACCGTTTCCCTCGTTTTCGGACCTTGCCTTAAGCGGAGAGCTTCAGGCTATGCTGAGGAACAGACTTCTTTACATCTTTATAGCCCAGTATTGCAGTTGCAAGCATGTATCATGCATTTGTGTAGGTGCTGCTGTGTAACTTGCTAGACAGAGACTGAGAGGGGGAGAGAGAGAATGGAAGGAAGAGAGCAGAGAGACATAACACAATGCAGTTGATTAATGCAATGCAATCAAATCGGCGTCATGCGGTTATTTAGACACACATGTACTCAAAGCTCGTCTGTTCAAGCATAACATAGATAATCATATGAATCAACAAATGGGTCATATTTCAATGTGTCTATTTGCTGCGTTCATATTTCCTATTCCACGATGTATGTGTATGAGTATGTGTGTGTGTATATATGTATATATAAATGATAAGTATGTACGTACATGTTTGTCTGCCTCTTTGTCTGTCTGATTGTATGTGCGTGCATAGGGCGGGTGGCTGGGTGGGTGAGCGAGGGAGGGTGGGTGGGAGGGGGGAGGGTGGGAGGGTGTGAGGGTGGGAGGGTGTGAGGGTGGAAGGGTGGGAGGGTGGGAGGGTGGGAGGGAGAGCGTGGAGGGAGGGTGGATGGAAGGAGGGAGCGAGGGGGCAGGTATGTCGGTATGTAATGCATGTAGTGTACATAAAGTATTGCATGTAGTGCATGTTTTGTAATGTACATAATGCGTGTATGTGTGCACATATGCGTGGATGAATACATGCATCATTTGTGCTTTCATTTATGTACGCATGCATGTTGATGCATGTGTGTATGTACTGTACTGAGTACTGTAATGTACTCGACTGCACTTGTACCTCAATGCAATGTTATGTAGTTCACTGTAGTGTATGTAGTTGGACGTAGTTCAAGCACGCAGTCTCTACATTATAGCGATAGTTAAATGACCAGCCAATCAATCGTTCGACCAATCGTTCAGTCAGGCAGGCAATTAGTCAGTTAGTCTAACTACCCAATTAAGTAAGAACGAAATCGCTAGTGCGATCATAAAATTAACTACGACAGTACTTTGTGGCTTCGCTAGCTGTCCTTGGACGCTTTGTCTCACACACTACAAGACTTCGGAGCCTCCCGACCAAGGATGCAGGCCCACAAATTCTCACCGTGCTGCGGTCGCCACACTGTCCGGTTCCCAGTTGTGGCGCGCCGGCTTAGGTAATGATGCCGGTGCCTCGGTCAAGATTTCTGCATGGAGAGCAGGTGGAGCTCCCAATACTTACATGTTTCAGAACTTATGTATCGAGCAGAGGGGCAGGGGTCACCAGCAAGATGTAGAACCGCTACATGTCAGTCTGAAACATCGGGAGCCGGGGCAAGTCCGATGTGCTCATTGGCTCATTGCCTGGCTTCCAGGGCATGTGAGGGTTGCAGGCTGCACCGCCATAGTAGTATTGTAGGGCGTCTCTCCCAAAAAAGAGCAGGGTATAGAGCCCGGCCTCAGGTGCGAGGGATCTTTAGTATTTGGGCAGGAGTTTCATAGCCCGATGACTCATCCGATCGAACTGGAACAGAGAGGATGGGCATGGAACCTACTTTATCGCCTCAAAACTCTCCGAGATTGAGCCTCGAAATCCTGAAAGAATTGAGGCCGTGTCCTGGACGTGTCCCTGGATGGCTGTGCTTTCGGCGAAGCAGCGGTGCCCAGCTTGGCAAGGACTCACTCCCTGTGTTTCCGTACTAGGGCTAATGACGCTTGGTGCTAATGTCCAACAGATGCTCAACCCACAACAGGCGCTCGCAGTCTCAGATGATGAGCGACAAATACGAGTCCTCAGAGAGCTATTCTCGTCCTTTCGCCGATGTGGCTATGAAGCAGGAAACAGCTCGAGCCGCACGAAGTTGTAGATCAGATAGTTTGGGCATTTGTGCTGTAGAACAGGTTCCAACTTGTGATAAGTTTCAGTGGCGAAGTCCGGTTGATGGTCGAACTTGCTCTGAGTAAAGGTGTTGCATCTTGGTGTCTGGAGTTTCGACTGGCGCACTCGCATGAAGAAGGCACGGATTCCGGCGAAAGTCCCACTAACTCGGACATGAAAAGCATATGGTACAGCGGGAAACAACAAGCAACCCAGATACAGAACACTGTAAGAACCGATGTCCACAAACCACCTGTGAACATCATTATGCACCACACCACCTGCTTTTAACCCTGTTTGGCGTTCCCGTCAGCGAGTTGGTTTGCATGCCAAGTGTGAGCGCGCTACCTTTCAAAGTCAAGGCCACTGCCATCCACAAGTAGTGCATGTAGGAGGCTTTCGAGGCAGGCCATCTAGCTGACTTCTCCCAAACTGCATGCACTTTGCACCTCGACATGCGACGATTTGCCTGGAGCGCCGATCTTGTATCTTGTAACATGGAATCTAAACTGGGTTGTGCGAGACTTGGTTCTTTGCCCTGACTCCTTACATCTGGCTCATCTGACAGCCCGAGACGGCATGTCAGGATTTGTTTGAATGTGCGAAGATTCTCCTTGTGTCAATGCGGAGGAGGGGAAGGCGGCCGGGCTGTCGAGCATCTTAGATCCCAAGCCCCTTCTACCCCTCATCGCCGGAAGAGCTAAACAGTCTCCTGTTGTGAGTGCTGATATAGTCTTCTCTTTTTGCGAAGTTGCGAATCGCTACGGTACCTGAAGGAGGTTTCATGTGATTTTCTCAAGGCTCTAAGACTCGAAGACTGTGCAGTGAAAAGAATCGAAAAGTCAAAGCACTAGTCAAAACTGACTGCTGAGCTGTGAAACAAGATCTTCACCTTTAGCATTTGCGAGCTTTGCATCGATGGGGGTTTGCAGCTTCAAGCTTGTTCCAGGTGGGCAGGTAGCAAACAGCAACCCCGCTTCTCAAACGTGCAAGGATCGCTGGGTCAAAGCTTCGCCGTGCACCTGGAGGTGGGCAACTTTTGGAGCGCCAGTCCAGGCTCTACATGCATTAGCCCTGCACGATCTCGATTGGCACAGGACCTTGCCCGTGGCCTCGGGCGACGAAGGAAAGGTGGCGCTGGGATGCAGCTCCTGATATTTCATTGCTTTGGTCTGGGGCGCTGGGTTTTAGGGTTTGCAATATTTGATTGGATTGAGAAGCGGTAACCTGCAGATTCCCCACTCGACTGAGTGTGTCGAGTTCAGTTCTATATGACACTTGCACGTGCTGTCTGCTTCGACTGGGTGGATGCATCTGGCTAACCCTCTCTATCAGCACGGTGCACCCTGCATTGGCTTACCATGTTATGTCACACTTGTAGATACCAGAGTTATGCAAAATCCCGTGTCAAGTCCGTAGAAAACGCTCGAAACTCTGCAAAGTGCATTTAACGTTTGGAATGCTGACGTGTCGACAGGAAATCTCAGGCCATGGATGACAAGTAGAACATGAACAGGTTCCGGGACAGCATCGGCTGAATCTTCACCGGCTCAGGTGGGCGCCACGGTGGTTTCCAAACCCTAGAACAGTGTGTTTATCCTGTCGCTCCAGTGGCATCGGCCTTTGGTCCATTCAGGGCCCAACTTCCGCATGAGGTGATACTGCTCTTGAACTTTCGGGTCATATACTAATACTACTTCCACATCAGATTGCTGATGACTTGAGGTCTCACGGTCTACCCGGGAGAGGCAGCAGCACCCTGAGATCTGTGGAGATGCCACAACATGGCACGTTAACTTTGTTGCACTGTCTTTGGCAGGAGGTGTGCAACTGCGAGTGGCAGGCTAGAAGTTAAATGATGCAAGTTGCATGTGTCAGGCTCAATTTTCAGTCCCAGGAGCTGGTTCAATGAGTACTTAGTCATCACGAAAGCCTCATCACTGACGTCAGTTGGGGCAGAAATGGCCGAACGAGCAGAGTTCAATAGGAAGTGCACCAATAGCACGGGCCCCCTTTATTCGGCGGATCTTTTTTTGGCGGCGACCCCGCGGAGCGGCCAAAAGGCCATGGTCGGCCTGAGGGGTTGGCGCCTTCTGGGCCGTGCACGACGCCGATCCACGGGCCCGCTCGTGGCCCTGAGCTTGGCCTTGAGCTCCCACTTGGCCCACCTGTACCTCGTCTGTTGAAGAGGAGGAAGAAAAGAGGGAGAGTGCTGAGTGCGTGCCGGTTGCTTGCCGATGTATCTCGGTGAAGGTCCTGGAATGCCTTGCCGGGCTTTGTGGCCGCCTGGGCGCCGACACCGACGGTGCACCATTCTGGCAGCCGGCTACTTGCGGGCTCAGTCCGCGCCGTGGCCAGTGCGGTGGAAGCAGGACCTGCCGTGAAAACGCTGAGCGAGGCCGCGGCTTTGCACGCTGGATGAAGGTAAAGCCCGATGGTCGCCCGAATCTGATGATGAGAGCTCAAATGACAGAGTCTTATATAAATCATGCACATACGCGGCAAACTGCTGAGCACAACTTGCTTTGATATCACCGCTTGTAGTTGTCGTTCTTTCCACTTCAGTTGACCGTGAACCTGCTCGGTGAACCAACTTGGGGAGGGGTTAATGCTTATCAGACATCGTGTATCTGCGGACCTTGCCTTAGATCGTCCGAGTGTGAGAGTCGGAAAGAAGCCTTCCACTGCTGCTCCTGCGGTCTTGCTTTGCCCAAAAACCTCACTGAACCGTGGGAGGGCCGCATGACTGGGGAATGTGACTCTCAAGGGCTCCCTGGGAGAGGAGATGGGCCGTAGTCGGCAGAGTTGACTATTTCACTGCGCATAAAGCGGCAGAAGGACTTGGAGGCTTCACATCTGAAGCTCCTAGACAGTCGAATCTTTTACTCGGGCCCGCACCACTCCCCATCCCCAACAGCATTGTCATGTGTCAACCTGCCCCTAAACCCCCAAAACCTAAACCCTAAACTGCCCTAAACCCCCAAACCGTCGCACCCTGAAGCTTTTCTGAGAGCGATCCTTACCATTCTTTACCTTATTTAGGTAAAGAGATGGCCGTGCCGAAATGTGCGCTTTCGGGCAATCGTACGGATTGCAGAAAGCCACCCAGTCCGACTCCATAACAACACAACATTGTGGAATGGCTCGCGAACGTCACGTGTATAGTTGTCTTGTGTTGGTCAACAGTTACTTACACAGGTGGATCTACTGTGCCCTGCAATGCGGCCTTCGTCCTAGCTAGATGGGAGGCAAAGAAGCCCAAACCCTAAACCCCCAAGCCCACAACCCCTAAAATGAAAGGCCCCCCTGAGCTCTGCCAGGCGAGTCTCCAAGCGCAGGCCGGGTTTTCACTAGATGTACTCGAGGAGTTTCGGACGACAGGTGGGTTTAGGCTTCACAGGACTCAAAATTCAAAGGGTGGTTGGATGAAGTTTTAGAGCTTCACTGGCGAAACTGTGGACAGGCTTGGCAAGGCCATTTCGTTTTTCCTGGGCTTTCGAATTCATATCCTCCCGAAAGATCGGACGACCGGGAGGCCAAAACCCTGCCTCCGCGTCCCACGCACACAGACACACTTGTTTACAAACATTGGGTAAGATTCGAAGAATCACGAAACAGAGAGACAGATGCAGATGTAAGGACAGACAGGCTACGATGCATGTGTGAAAGCAGTCATGTAAAACTGCTCATGTATGTACCCTACATGTACATGTATGTATGTATGTATATATATATGTGTGTGTGTGTATGTACGTATCTACATACGTGTGTGTGTATGTATCTATCTATGTAAGCATTTTATAGAAGTATGAATGACTAGTACATAAAGGCACATAGCATTGCCGGAACTCACCTGGCAGAAGCTACACGTAGTGCTCGAGCAAGTTGGAAACGATGCGCTTAAGCAGCCTTGTTTACTTTGTGTGTAGCGTCGCATCTACTCATGGAAACTTGACGGGCAAGGCAACTGTAGACACCAGCCAGATCAATGAAGCGGAAAATCCGTCGCTTGTTGCAGGGCCGCTAGTAATTGCCGAGGGATTGGCGTTTCGGATGAAGATGTTGGGAAACCAAGGTCGATCAGCTCATGCACGCCTATATCTCAACTTTAGCACTTTCAACTCCGAACGGGCTGCTCCAGAGTAAGACCAAACGAGCCAACCTCCGACTCTTAAGTCATGTGCACGACTTTGCTGGGAATACTGAATTTATTTTGCTGGATTGCCTGGAAGCGTCTCATGTGATGTGAGTGAAGGTGGTAAAGCTAGGTCGGAGTGTTTTGAAACAGTGGAGCAATGTCTCCAAGCCTATTCAATCGTGACTGCTCCCATGCTGACCTGTGCTCTTTCTGTATCTTGGTTGTTTGGTTTCCCTGTTTGGCGTAATCAGTTGGCATGGAGCAGTGATAGTGCGGAGATCGAACCATGAGGAGCCTTACCTGTGTGAGCGAGTGTGAGAGTCGAAATCATGTGCACGAGACCACGCAACTCCCGACACAATTCAAAACCGTGTCAACAGAGGGTGCCTAAGACCAGGTGGAAGGCTTCTTCGCCAGGGCGCTGGCTGATGTTGCAGGAGAAGCCAAGGCCAGGCAGATCTGCTGGCAGGTTTTGTGCTCCAGGTTCAGGATTTCGGGTAGCCGTGAGGCTTTTCCTTGCTGCCTTGAGGAATCGAGATCAGCTGTAAAAGCTTTAGAGCCTGCAGGCGAGTGTCGTGGTGGTTGTGGTGCAAGAGCAGCGTAGGCAGCAGACGGGGAAGTACTTGTATTCTTCATGTCTCAGCTGTTCTACATGAAATAGGGAGCTCGTGGAGTCATCGGAGATACGTCAGACAGGCAGAGCCGAGGCGAACTCCGCAGTCAGCACCCAGAAAAGAAGGTGCCACAAAGACAGCTCTGGAGCACCCCTGTTTCGACCCTTGCCTGGGAAAGATTAGGAACGCTTGGAGCAGAGCTCCTCCGAAAAGGCGAAGTGTGTCCTCTGATGCAAGAAGCTAGGAAGATCTCGGAAGTAGCCCTTTTGCATAAGTCCAGATGCAAAAAGGGGCAAAGGAGCTTTGAATCTATATATGCTCCTACACTAGTTATCCAGCAGCACCGGCAGCACTGAGCAGGTGATGGTTGCGCCGGCGGATCCGCGCTTTGGCGACTACCAGTGCTGCTGGGCAAAAACTTCGCAGGTTGAAGGCAGCCTGAAACGCAGACACAGAGATGCAGTGTTTGAGGCATCTCAAGCCCTCATTACGAAGGACTACGCAGCAGTGAGAAACATTAGATCCCCATGTTTGTAAACATAAAGATTTGGAAGCCTCGTCGGCCTGGCCCGTCAACCCAGGCAACAATGCCATGGGCCTCTTCAAACAGAGCAAGAAGGAGGGCGGCAAGGAGGGCTGGAAGAGCCCCAGAGACCTTGCCGCACAGACTTTCAAAGGCTTTCGTGACAAGCGCTTTTCCGATTACCTGAGTTGCTTTATGCAAGTTCCCCCATGCCCTAGAGCTCGGTATTTGTTCATCCGGCTGTCAGCTCGTCCCGGGAACAACTCGGTTGGTAGGGCAGCTCCCTCCATTTCAAGGACAGGCACCGAACAGCTTGTTAGCTTTTGGCAAGCTCCTTGGAACCGTAGGGTCTCTGCACCACTGAACCCAACCCAAACCTGAAAATGCTGATGCCTATCTCAGCATAAAGACACCTTATTTCAGGAGATGTTGGCGAGGCGATCAAGGCCGCGCTGCCTGCGGAAGCCTCGGAGCTGTTCGAGGAGGCGCGGGGGGAAGACACGAACGTAGCAGGATGGAGGACACAACCGGAAGACAGAAAGCCTCTATCATCCTCCATGCCGGCTCCTCGCCATGTACAAATCGTGAAGCCCAAGTTCCGTAAGACCTTTCTTCGAAGGACTTGAACTTGCGTGGTGTGTTGAGCTTGAGAAGACACTGTGTCTCACTCGCAAGAAAGAGGGAATCTGGGTGTCCCGCTTATTCCCCAAATCTCAAGAGGACCTGCGCCCTACACCACCGAACCCCCCCTATCTTGCAGCTGTGCATTGAAGGTCAATGTGGCACCGCAGGGCTTCATCACGGTGAAGCTGAGCCCACAGTGGCTCCACAAGCATCTCGGCGGTGCTGTTCCGACGATGCAGGTTCTGCTCGTTGGGTTTCGGCGTTCGAACCAAAGTCCAGCTGAAGCTAACTTTGCCGGACATGAGGCAGAGGACGCAATGCCTGTCAAGTTCAGACTGCACCTCTTGAACTTGGAACGCACACACATGCACATGAGCATCCGCATGCCAGAAGTGCCGCAATGCCATGTGTACAGTGCTGTCTTTGCAGCTCTTTCTCGTCTAGGCAAGTGGCGGAGCTCTTCGACCATGGCCTTCAGCTGCGGAGCAGTATGTCTCAGCGCATCGTCATCGACTATTCCTCTCCCAACATAGTCACTTGACTAAAATTTCTAAAAGCATGACGACAAAGTTCTTGCGCACGCTGCTTTAATCTACGGTGCCAGTCGAAGACCAAAGCAACCGAGGCCAAGGAGATGCATGTGGGCCACCTGAGGTCCACCATCCTGGGAGACACCATGGCCAACCTTTTCGAAGACTTGGGTCACGAGGTGGTTCGTCTGAACCATGTCGGTGACTGGGGAACCCAGTTCGGAATGTTGCTGGAGTACATGAGGAGGGAGGAGGCACTAGACGGCGAAGCTTCCTCCATGGTGGTCAGCGATTTGCAAAAGTTCTACCGCAGTGCTAAGGAGGCTTTTGACGAGGATGACGAATTCCGAAAGAAGGCGCAAACCAATGTGGTGGAGCTTCAGAGTGGTGCCGACTGGGCACGCGCAGCCTGGAACCGCATTTGTGAAGCGAGCCGGAAAGAGTTTGACACCGTCTACGGCAGGCTACAGATTCGAGGCCTGCAGGAGCGTGGTGAGTCTTTCTACAACAAGATGCTTCCAGGCGTCGTTGAGGAGCTGCAAGAGAAGGGGTTGGTGACCGAAAGTGACGGAGCCTTGTGCGTCTTCACGAACGTGTCTGAGACACCGTTGATAGTCCAGAAGGCTGACGGGGGGTTTGGCTACGATTCTACAGATTGTGCGGCCGTGCAACACCGGATCAACGAGGAGAACGCGAATCGAGTTATCTATGTTATCGACAACGGCCAGGAGCTTCACATGCGAATGGTCTTCAGTGCCGCAGAGCAAGCAGGGTGGCTTTCGGGGGGCGCTCGCTTGGACTTCATGGGTTTCGGGCTGGTTCAAGGCCAAGACGGTAAGAAGTTCAAGACACGATCTGGAGAGGTGGTTCGCTTAAGAGACCTCTTGGACGAAGCCGCTGACCGGTCAGAGGTCGAGCTAAGGAAACGGGCAGAGAATGCCAATATCGTCTTGGACGAAGACAAGGAACGAAAGTTGAAGCAGAATGCCGAAAGTATCGGAATGGCTGCCGTGAAGTATTTCGACCTTCGTCAGAATCGAAACTCCGATTACCGGTTCTCCTATGACTCCATGCTGGATCCCAAGGGCAACACCGCGGTCTATGTCCTCTATGCCTATGCGCGTATTGCAGGAGTGCTGAGACGGGCTGATTTCGAGATAGGCACTCTCTCTACAACCGACCTCGAGTTGACGGAGGCTCCGGAAAGGGCGCTGGCGTTGCGCCTCTTGCGCCTGCCCGAGGTCATTGCACAAGTGGAGGATGACCTTTTCCCCAGTAGGCTGGTGGACACTTTGCTGCCAGTCTTTGCATGTTTGCTATCATGATGCTTTGTGTAAATGTACAACAAGCTTTTGCAAACATGTAAGGATCACATGTATGGCCTTGCGACGGATTTCTCCAGCTTCTACACAGAGTGCCCTGTGGTTGGGTCGGAGCAGCAGAAGAGTCGACTGATCCTTTGCGAGGTCGTTCGTCGACAGCTTGCTTATTGCCTCGGTCTCTTGCGCATTGAGCCCTTCGAGCAGCTTTGAATGCCCAGCACCAGAAGTGCAACTTCGCAGCCAACCTCAGCAGGGAGCTGCCAAGCGCCTGCTCCCTGGGTAAGGCTGTATCGATTACCTTATCACAACTTGAGAGTGGCATCCGCAGAATCGCTAAGGCAAGAAGCGTTACTAGTTGGTGCCAACCTTACTTGTAAGCGCCTTGCAAGTGTCTTAGATGTCCGAATGCCCAAGAGCCAATGGTCAGATCTCGCATGCCTACGTCGCAAGAAGCTCCTAGTGCTTCCGGATGCCATTAGACCAACCGCGATCGTAGCATGTCATGACATAGCTAGCCAGACTTTGCAATGCAAGGGCCTTGCACTTTCTCATCCTTCTTTACGGCCCTTTCCCAACTAATTTTCAATCAAGTTTTTCAGCAGCATCTGCTGCTCTCTCATACAGTGAACATCAGAAAAAGCTGACAGGCCCTGAGGTGCATTGCATACGGGGTTGAGGCATTTGCCTGCATACGATGTTGGTGATTTTTGCTGAAGCTGAGAGTCATCTTGCCATGTTTCATGTTTTGGCAGTAGGTGCTATGTAGTTCTTGCCTTAGCAAATTATATGTCTCTGACTGGGACATGTTCTTGGTAGCAGCAGTTGCCAAGGGCGGCTTGGAAGCTCCCTTGTACATGAACAAAACATATAGCCAGAACGGAGAAGGCCTCTGCTCTCCAAACCATGAGAGTGTGCAAAGGCACGACGTTTGCCAGGGCACTACAATATAAAACTTAGTAAGCTACACGGCTGCGGCTTTTTCCTGTCTCAAGTTCATGCAGCAGAGGCGGCCTTTGCGCCTACTACTCCGAGAGCTTCGACTCCGTGACTTAGCACTGCGTGACAGCAGCGCCAGGGCCTCCAGGGAGTGAGGTCGCCATGAGTCGACGGTCGCTTGCTCGTTGGCGGGGTTGATTTGGAGCTGCTACTGTCGAGAGAGCTTTGCATTTACATCACATCGCTCACTTCAACACCGAACGGAGAACTTGGATGTTTTCCACCGAGGTCCAGCTACTTGTCAATGCCATCTCCTGGCTGCGTGTGGCTCGGCGCGATATGCCGCGGACTCGGGCAAAAAGAATTGGGTTTTGATGAGGAAAAGTCACAACATGACAGTAGATTCCATTGCATGGAGCCCCTGTGGAACATGCGTTTGCAGAAGGGCTCCTTTTCACGGCCATCTTCTACCAAAAGGCTGGCAGGCTCCCCGCAGCTGCGAAGTTCCTCGCTTTACACTCTTTCCGTCTCTGAGCTGTAATTATTTTTACAGCTATGGCCCAAGCCTGAGAAGACATGGCTGGAAGGGCTTGGAGCAGTTGCACTCAGGGACGACTTGGAGGTCCTGGAGCTAGACGGGCCATGAGCTGAGTTGCTACGAATCCCAGCAGTTGAAGCATATCAATCGGCTTTAAAGCCTACTTCGTCTTGCCTTGGATGATCTGTTGCCAGCTTACGGCATGTCACGTCGTTTTCATTAGGCAATCTCGCAAGTCCTTTCAGCAGGCGAGCCTGCGAGTTCTTCGCATCACTAAGGAACCATCTGACCCAAAGCATGGCAAGGAGCCGAGCTGGTCACATGCAGACTTCGCTTGACCACCACTTCCACCACCACAGCCGCCACCACCAGTCACGTGCAGCTACAGCAGCTGGAGCAGTAGGAGCGACGTGTCGCAGCAGCAGTCGCACCAGATATTGACTTTGGTAGTGATGGCGGCCTTGGGCAGTGCTTAAAATAGTAGGAACAGCAGTGGCAGCAGCAGCAGCGGCGCAGCGGCAGTTGCGGCAGTTCTATCACAATTGTTCAGTAATTCAGGAGTGGCACTCAGTGTCCCTGTTGTCATGGTACTTGTGGGCATGGCAGTAGTACAGTGCAGTGGCTCGCGATAGTATTGCAGCATCAGGCTTTGGGATGGTCTCACCCAGGAGAGCTACCATAGTCCATAGTCGCAGCGCAAAGCACGAGCGATCCAAGTCCTGCACTCCAAAGGTGCCGAGCCTGACACCGCTACTCACCGAGCTGCGGACGCTGCAGCGGTTGTCCTTGTGCGCCCGTGGGGATTGTTGTGGGTTGGGCTTCGAGGCCTTCCCTGCTGGGCTTGAGAGTTGAGTTGAAGCTTGCAGTAATTAGTGGACTGCTGCGGTGCAAAGCGGATGGAGATCTTATCGGCACTGTCGGGATGTGGTGCAGCGACCTACTCTCAGCCCTAGTCGAAGTCCGCTGGATTGGAAATTGGGTGGAAGAGAGAGAGACATCAAAGGTGGCTAAAGTATTTGCCAGTCTCACTCCAAGTTATTCGACCGTTTCAACGGATGCGAAACTCACTCATCGTGTTTCCATGCGCTGCTATCCAGTGTCAGCAAAGGGATTTCATAGATTCCAGTGGTAATGACATGAGATGACTCATGCCGTGACGCCAAAGTTGTTTTGGAGAGCGCAGTCGTCAGCCCTGCCTCCAGGTCACGCAATAAGCTGCGGCATCTGGGTGCCTAACCCAGCACTTGGGTCACAGCACCGAGATCAATCCGATTCCTATTGCCCTTTGGGTATGGCATTCATCCCTATGGTGAGGCTGAAGGGTTCTTGCTCAGGTGGGCCCGACCCAGAAGCAAGCTTTTCGAGAGCAGCTGATGATACTCAATCCCATTCCACCATTCAAACATACGGTCTTCACAGGTTATGTTCGAACCTCAGACATTGTAACCTACAATAGCATGTTCGGCTGAGGGTTCGACGCGAATGCATCTGGAGACCATGGCAGGCTTTGTGGCGGGCATGCGCATTTTGTTTGGGGACGCGTTGTAAGCATTGGCTCGAACCAGCTCATCTTCCCTAGGAGGCTTTTTGAGTACATTGCGTAGCACTGGAGCCGATATCTTGTAGCACCAACCGGGCCTTGAGGCGAGTGCTTAGATGCGCTCTCGGGTCTGGTTCAGCGTGTTGACCAAACAATCGAACCAGGCATGCCAAGACGACAGATTTGCAGTTCGCTCAAGTCATCCGCAGAAGACACACGGAGACCATCGGAGACTGACCGACGGTGGCATGCACCCGCTCACGCAAAAGACTCTCTCATGCGTCAACGACTTTTTTGCCATGGTTGGGCTCTCGCCTTGCCTGTCGACTGGCCGAGAGCGGGAAAGAGGACGGCCGCGGCACTTGAAGATTTGTTTCGCTGATCGACTTATTGCCCGGAAGGCTGGCTTGCCGACACAGCAGCTGAATGGCAGACAGCCCCTCGGCATCCAAACACGAGCCCGCCGTTATGTTTAATAAGACTGTTGCTTTTGAAGACTTCACTGGAGCTTGCTGGACAAAATGCACCGACACACTGATCTTCAGATGGCGATCCTGCAAGGTTCTGCCAGGGGAGATGATAGGTCCTCTCACCCTCTGACAGCAAGGCACCATGCATGTAGTGTGAACCTTAGATGCGACATCAGTGTTTGTGGGTCGTTGGTGTTTAGCAGTTACAGTTGAGAGTGGTCATTATTGCCTGTGTACATGTGTTGCCACATGCTCAATGCTCACACCAGATTTGCATATCCAGCCAAGTTCGAAGTATGCGAAACCCGGAACGCTCAGTGCAAGTCCAGGCTCAGATGGATCCAGCGAGAAGGAGGACCCCCACTGTTTCAAAATTCAGTGTTATTATGCGTGTTGAAGCCAACCGGCCTGTTTTTTGCCATGACTTCTGCGACCCACCGAGAGGAGTCCAAGTTCAACTGGCCGTGGCGCTCGATTCTTGCCTGGAAAGATGGGCTCGTAGTGAAAGTGGCTGATTGGGGTTGTGGGCATGTTCGACGGTCTCTCGCATGTGTGCATGCGATCGTATTTTGCTGTGTGCACCCGTGGTGTGCTGCTTGTGTGCGTGTGTGTTTGTGTGCGTGTCTTTTTCTTTTGTTGATTTGTCTCTCCGCCCCTCTCTGACTCTCTCTCTCCCTCTCTCTCTCGCGGTGTCTTTCATTGCGTCTTTGAGTCTGTCTGTTTGTCGCGTGCATGTGGGCACGACTTCTTTTACGGAAGCACATCCGTGCTGTTGCTGGCATGTTACATGTGGAACCGCTTGAGCTAGCGCAGCACTGGTGCATCAGTGGAAAGAGCAACTATGTACATCTGCCACACAGGACAGCAACACGGTTCATGGATTCGCGATGCTCTTCTGCCAGACCATTGCAGCATGCCCCACCCCCCATGTCAAAACATGACAATCGAAATCTGTAGTCGCCAGTGCTGTTCCTGGGGTTAGTGACTGCCATCCGACAGTGGTGTGGATCGTTGAGTGTTGGATGGGTCGGACGAAGTATTGAAGGGAGTGGCGGGTCCCGTCGACATCGTCATCATCATCAGCATCATCAGCATCATTATCACCATCATGCCATCACGCACCTCCAGCAGGTTCTCTTTCGACCGAGATCGAGCCACCTCTAAATGCACCGTGCAAAGCACGACCATTGCACCGACCTTGCAGGCCCATGTCTGTTTTTGTATGGTGGTTCCTCCATCGTGACGCATAACAAAGATGCCGGACATGACGGTTTCAGACTGTGCTGGCGACGTGGATCATTTGTCAGTCCAACGTTGGAACAAGTTGAGGTTGTTTATCGTCGGTCGTAACAAGTCGCCCGGCAGCAAGCCGCCGCCACTCGAGACCAGCTTCTTGGATTGAAGTTCTTCACGGCTTCTGGGTTGGTCATGGTCTTTGGCAGATTGGGGTTGTCCGTAAGTTGTACTAGCATGTAGTAGTCCTTACATGGCCACCCTAATCATCTGAGAATTCAATCCCAACACGACTAGCAGAAAGCCAGATTCAAGACAGTGATGCCTAAAGAAGCCCGATGAGCTAGACATCTGCTGTAAGTAATAGTCCCCACTCGAATCCTGCACAGTAAGTCTGTCCGTGACAGACTGTCTTGATGTTGAAAGCGGCCACAGTGAAGATTACTTACACATTACCTACTCCTGGAGTTCAGAGGTTGGCCAGTTACAAAGATTTCACGGCGTTCGTGGTTATGGGCAGGATATCGGAAACCAGGGTTGTCAGAGTGGTTGTGTCGATCGGAACGCATTCTGATGTGGCTTATGGGCTATCTGGAAGAAATATTAACATCGATGCCTGAATAATCATTATCATGGTTTCCTTAGGGCTTCATGTGAGCACATACCCCAAAACATCCCCAAAACCCTATTCTAATTGGTAAGGCTCCTGAAATCGATTTCGAGCAGCCGAGGCAGCGCTGATCCTTCAGTGGCGGCTCCAGGAAAGAGCCATAACGGTCTTTGGATAATTTGCGTTACAGTTAGTTTGGCAGTATGATCTGTGCTGGTGGCATTGTTGAAATAATAACCTAGTCACCTGTTTGTGTGCATGTAATCTTCCAACATGTGATCATATCCGCATTACTTGTATGTGGTTTCTTAGGGGTGCTGTCTGGTGAAGAGGGGAGAGCTACGCAAGATGATTCGCAGCTTCAAGAGGGGCCTTGACATGAAGACTGGCAGATCCACAGACAAAGGCGACAAAGCTCTTGGAGTTGTGCAGCGAACTTTCGGATCCCTCTCCAACAGAAATGTCGGATTGTTCCCGACTTAGCTCCTACCCGGTGTGTTTTTGGGGCTGCACCTGGAAAGAACTGGTTTCCCTGAGTTCCAAGTTTCCTTACACACTGTGCGACCAATGGAGGCACGATCAGCCCTCCTGTTTCGCCCAGCCTCAGCGTGAGCGCAGGCCAGATGGGGCAGAATGTCGATGTAGGTTTGCTTGAAGAACCGTTCTACGTCAGCCTCAGTCCTGCCCCCAAACAGGCAGAAAGTCGTCCTGAATTCAAGAGCTCAAATTCAAAACAGATGCCCAGCCGATACTCAGCGGAGCCCCGAATGTTAAGCATGCTGCTTTGGCAGATTGTCTTCTGAAAGTGGTGCAGCACGGCACAGCACAAGTGATGGAAGCTGTGGTGAAAGACTGACAGAGCTCCGTTAGCTGCTACTGTGCCACGTCAGTGTCCTAGCTGTGGTGGAACTTCTTGACAAGTCTTGCTTTGTGCTGTGTGCTCGAGAATAGGCGAGCCCGAAGCCAAGCCATGTCCCTGTGTCGAGGCTGGCCGAACCACAACCACAGCCCACCTCCCTCTCCGAAAACCACGCAGCCAGGACGCGCGCTCGGCTGCGTTTTCTAGTGTCGAGCGGTTATCGGGGCATAAGACATGGATGCATGGAGAGGAGCTCATCATGAGAGTCGTTACCTCGCGTTTCCTCGCAGTGACTTCCTTTCCGCTCTTTCGTGGTTTGCCACACCGTCTCTGTTCCGTTTCCTCTCCCCACTGTGAAACTCAAATCCTTCTTTGCGTCTCCCTATCTGGTGCCAGTGTTCATCCTGACTCGCCCCAAAACAGGCCTTTAGACTCGAGCATATGGCATGTCCGACACACATTCTTACTTCCCCCGCTTTCTGCTCTAGACCCTGGGCCCCTGTGCAGACGCGAAGGAGTGGCCGGCACGAAGCCTTCAAGCCCGCGTGAAGCATCTCCCACAGGCCAGCTGTTATGGAGGGCACGACAGTGGCTTCAGAGCATGTTTAGATAGCGGTTACATCAGTCCTTTGCAATGCAAGCTTCGCAAGACCTAGGAGCCCCGCAGCGCCCGTGGTAACCCCTGGTAACCAGGAGTGTTGGCCGGTGACCGGGCCGGCCTAAGGCCTGACGGTCACAGAAGTGACCCCTATGCGCAACAGGAAAGAAAGACGGGGAGAAGGAGTGAAAGGGAAAGGGAGTTCGGGCATATTGAACCTTTGTGTCACCAGGAGCCCCAAACCGCTCCCCTCGCTGGATTGGCCGCGAGGGAGCAGTGAAGCCACCTGCACGGCGGGATCTGGGAGGGAAGTGGGTTGTTTGAAGTGTTTGATGCAAGTTATAGCAGGCGAACTTAGGGGGACTCTTGTGAGTTGGCGATGACAACAATTGGGTCACTGTCACATGTGTGGTCTTTTGTTGCTTTTGAAGTCCCGGTACATAGCCAAAATATCCTCAGCAATTTTCGCCTCAAGCTGCGGCCTCGTTAAGCTGTGGCATGCTGGGCATCAAATATGACGTCTTCAAGCGTGCGCAGAGCTTTCCCTTTGTGCGCTACTGGTGGCGCCGGGCATTGCGCTTCGACGAGCGGACGGGAATGCTGACGGCTGGGATTCCGTTGACGATAGCTCTGTTCGCGTCGATCACCGTTACTACGATCATCTTGGATCGCCAGCATCTTGACGTCAGTTAGCTGATTACGTAACTTGCACATGGCGAGCATGCTAGCTTTACCCTCGCATGTTGCTTATTAGCATTTCAGAGTGCAGGTTCGAGCTTCGTGACCTGCGAGCTCGCACGATTAGTCAGCGCGAAGCAACATTGGAGGATTCAGATTATTGGATGCTGTGCTCTGGGTGTGAGACAGAGAGAGCTCGAGAGAGGCGAAGAGCGCTGCTTTTCCTCAGCCACTGCAGGAGGCCTCCCTCCCCTGGACTCGGAGCAAGAAACAACAACAAGCACAAGCTAGCAACGTGGGAATGAAGCAAGAAATACAACGGCAACTTACTCCAGAAGAGTTCCACGCAACGAAATCATCACCATCCGGTTTTCGGCCTCGTTCAACACATCCACCTTGTCCCAGCTCCCCCGTCTTGTTAGTTCCTGTAGTTTTTTCCCGACAGGGCATGATCTGACGCACCTGACCATGCACCCCTTAAGTCTTGCCCCACCAGGCAGAGCGAAAGCAAGCACTTAGTCGGCATTCGGCCTTCCTACATCCGTCAAAGCCTTGACCGCAAGCGAGAGCGCATCTGCGGGTAAGCTCCCGCGAAGTCTTCCACTTGGTTTCCACGTGAGGAAACGTAAGTTCGCATGCTGCCTAAGAGCACGTCCACGAGCACTGCCAGCTCGACCTTCCCAGTCCCGCCAAGTTAGACCAGCAAATAACGTCAAAATCGTGCAGGCCACAGGCGTTCCTTCCGGGCTGGCGAGAGTTGATACTACACAGCCTCCTTTGCCAACCGCCCATTTTGCACCCTCAGCGCTCACTTGCGAGAGCCGTGCTTGCAATGTTGAAGAGCGATGTTTCGCAGGAGGAGCATCGAGCCATGCGGGAGTTCCTGAAGGGAACCGAGGACAGCTCTTACAATTCAGCAATCGCATGCCTAGCTGCCCACTCGCTACTCATTCTCGTATGTAGCCACAAATAGGCACACACACACACTCTCTCTCACACACACAAAAACAAACACACCCACACACACACACACACGTATGACGTACGTGTATATATGCATAGATAGTATGTATGTACGTATGTATATACACCCACCCACCCAACCACGGTTGGTTAGGTGGACGAATGGATGGATGCATGGATGTACATATGTGCACATGTATGTACGTATTTGCACACGCCTGCATGCTTGTACGTCGGTTGGTTGGTTGATTCTTTGGTTGGTTCGTTGATTGGTTCTTTGCTTCGTTGGTTCGCTTGTTCGGTTGTTTGTTTGCTTGTAGGTTTGTTCGTGATAGTGTGCGTGCGTTGTTTGTTGCGGTTTGTTTTTTTCTTTCCTCAAGACTCGAGCTTTCACGGGAGCTTGGGGCTCCCTGCAAGACATGCGCCCTCGTGAAGACATGCTGCTCCCGTCATGCTACAAAGCCCGCAAGCAAGCGATCTGGCAGGACGAGTACGAGATGAAAGAGATTCCAGACTCGTGGAGGACGGTTTGCAAACCCGCAGGGGTCCAATCCCTGACTAATTCACCTGCACTACGACCATGGAAAGGGGTAACCACTAAATGAGAAAACCTTGTGGGGAAGATATGTATGCTGCGACAACTGCAGGCTCCGGTCAGCCGAAAACCTCAAAAGACCTTGGTGTCTTCACACTATCTCCTGCATGAGTAGAAAGGCAGCTGAGTGCAACAGTGCTTTCTGCGCCTCGCATCAACCGACCACAAGACCAGATAGATAATTTGCGCGCGCTGCTGTATCCTTCAGCTCTGTTGTGCGGGAGTCTTTACGAAACGGGCATGGCCAACCAAGGCAAGTTTGTATCTCTGCACCACATGCCTAAGCTAAAAGGGGCAGCTGCAGTTCAATCCATTTTGTCCGGAGGATCGGTCGTTGATCTGGTCCCGCATCAGGCTTCGAGTGTTTTTCAGGTACAGCCACTCAGCCGGTGGAAAGTTTTGCCATGTAAAAGTCCAATCTGCTCCGAAGATTGGACGTCAGCAGGTATGTCGCAAGCATTGACTTTGTCCTTGCCAAAGCATCCGAAATACAGTGACGCACTAGACTATTCTAAGCTTTGCGACGCACCCCAACTAGCAACAATTATGAGTAGGCTGGTGTAGGACAAGCTGTAGCCAGTGACATGGACGTGTGCTGTCCAAGAAGCACGGCTTTTCCATGCGGAAGCTTCAGGCAGCTGGTGCCTCAGAGGATAAGGCTGTCTTGCAAGCTTCGCCTCGCTGACACAGTTTCACCCTGACTCCCAGAATGCCGGTGCTGCGGGAGTGAAACAAAGTGAAGACGTGCATGCACCGACCCCTTGTTCAACCATGGCTAATGAGAAGCAAGTGAAGTTGGATGCAGACCGGTAGGTTGGTTCAACACATTCTTCCTTTAATAGAGAAGTCCTAGATCCGGCCCCATGAGGACATCACCATCGCACGAAAGAAACTGCAGAGGGCCGACATCGGAAAACGATTTGTCTTGCATGATTCTTTATCTTTGGATCTTAACTCCTTGCTAGAATGAACAGGTCGAGCAAGGGTTCCCGCAATCAACCCTCGAATCAGTCTGCAAGCCTTAGCAGAAAGCCTGACTAGGCATCTGCCGCCCTTCAAAGAGTCTAGCAGTAGGAATGCGCGGGTGCTGCCTTTATTTGCCCAGCTCATTATTGTATCATCTCGAAAATCGTGTCCTTGTGTGTATGTGTTGTGGTTGATCGGTTCGTTCGGTGGCTGGTTGCTTTTTATAAGTGCAGAATAGGAGTCTGTCAGCACACCACCATGCACCACCCCCAGCCATGTACCACTGACGAAAGCCAAGAAGCCAGGATCAAGTGTCTTCGGGAGCGGCGACAGGAGGCAGAGGCGCGGTGAACATGTAGCATGAAACATGCTCATGCTCGAAGGAATGTGAGAGGACCTTTGTGTCTTCGAAAGGCTGCTGACATGTTCCTGTATGTGCAATCCGAAAAGCTGTTTGCAAACGGTCGCCGAGACTGCTCCTATAGACTTATAGACTTATAGACATAAGCGACCATGTCAAACTGACAGGTGCCTTCTTGAGCTTGCTGTTTGTCTTTCGATTGTGCCGGTGGTTGTCCTGCTGCTGGTGGGGGTGGCGGGGGTAGTGCCGGTGCCGCTGGTTGTGGTGGTTGCATTGGGCTCCGGGTATAGAGGATCGAGCGCATGCAGCGGATATGGACGTGAGAGTGGCGGGATCACCTCGTCAGCTGTAGAAGTAGCAAGACTTTGTTGTGTTGCCCCGTTGCTTCGTGCTTAGCATAGTGCAGCTCCCTGCTTGCCGTGGATGCACCCAGTGTCAAGCCATACAGCCGCAGCCTCAAGCTCGAAGCTCCACCCCTAATCCGGGTTGCAGCACGCGACGTGCCCAGACAGATTCAATGGGCGCCTTCATCCTTAAGCCCGATAGCCGACCGTTCAAAGCGGGGTGGGCGAAACATCTCGGTTGAACCACAGCAGGCAGCAGCACAGCAGCGGCGGCGAAGCTCCGAGGAATGGCTTCATGCAAAAGTTGCCAGTAGGGGAGATCTGACAAGCGTCAAGCACGTTCTCAGCGCTCGGGTCAGAGAAAAGAGGGTCTGTCTGGGCTTATGTTGCAGCCAACGAGACTCATGACTGAGCCCCGTAGCTTGAGACCCAGGACACCTGAGCATTGTCGCAGCACGTCACCCAAGCTGATAGTCTGCAGGAGTCGAGCACTACTCCTCGATGGCGAGGGCCTTGGTGGCAGATGCGTTCTCGGCCTTCAGCTAGGAAGAAGCATTCGAAGATGCATTCCACCATGGTTTGCTTGAGACTTGCTTGCCTTGTTGCAGTCTTGTTTTGGTTGGCTGTACTTGATAAACGAGGAAAGAGACTTGTGAGCTCTGGGGCGTAGTCTCATTGGCCTTTACCGTTTGTTGGCCGCAGATGAAGCAGTGGCCATCTCAAGTGTCCTCAAGTCTTCTTTCGCATTTATCTCGGGTGCAGGATCAGTCTTGGGAATTGCAGCTCGACTCTCACAGCTGCGTTTTGCTGCGGTGTTCGGGTTTGCTTGCTTGCATGTCTTTTGGTGGTACGGCCTCGTCCTTCGAGTGAGCACCGGTTGCTGTGGCGAGGGTCGCTCTTGGAAGCCAGTGGGCGGAGCTGCGCCCGTTTACGGCAGGCAACGGCTGCATGAGGAGCACAAAGAGATCAGCAGTCGCAAGGCCTGTCCTGGCTTCGCCGGGAATCTTGCGGGTTCGAGCTTCTCCCTCCGGGTGGGTTGCATGATCCAATGTGCCGATCACTTGGTCAGAATGTGCTTTTCGTGCAGTTCTTGGCAGAAAGCTTAAGATGATTGCGTATCAAACTACCACTGCAAGATTTCAATCGGAGGTGGAAGCTGTTGAGAGATCATTGACGCTTGTTCGCTTCGATCCGAGCTGAGTCCCAAGCTCTCGAAGCCCTTGCTGCCAGAAACCTCCTTCCCGCGGAAGATCCTTCAAAGCCAAACGCAAGAATGCTCGAACGAGCGCACGACGGCTGTTGCTTTGCAGGCAGCACTCGAGGAAGAGGGTCGGCGCGCTGCAGACGAGGAGGTCTGAGTATCAGAGAGCCAGGTCTTTTTGGAACGGTGTGCGCATGCGCTTTTCGCTTGCTTTCTCGGGAGTTGAGGGAACCGTACTATAGTTATATACTGGATGTTACTGGTGGTAAAGGAAGCAATTTTTGAGTCAGCACGCATCCACCCAGTCCCCGCATCTGTCCAGGCATAATCTGTCACACCTACCCCAGGCCCCAACAACCTCAACCACAGCACCTGAGTCCTTTTTCACACGATGTTGTACTGCGCCGGCGTTGCGACTGCAACACACAGCAGGGACCCGGAACAAGCCTTTTTTGCTAGATCTTGCAAACTCCTCGCAATGGAGCATGCGGCCCATATCCCTCCTTTTCGGTCGTGCCTTGCGGAGGCGAAAGCTCTGTTGCACCAGGTGATGCGACTTGGCTGTCAGCAACAAGCCTGTTTACTTCTGCTCGTGCATGCATAGCAACATGGACACGCATGTGCAACTGCTCACATTCACAGTCCTGTGAGTGTCTATACGTTGACACACATACGTCTGTCTCATATGTACACGTACATGCATGCACATATTACATACA